GGATGCATGCAGCAGCAGCAGCAGCAGCAGCAGCAAACAGCAACAGCAGCAGCAAACAATCTAGCAATCCCAACAACCAACAGCAGCAGCAACAACAACACCAGCAGCAGCAGCAACAGCAGCAACAAGATCAGCAGCAGCAGCAGCAGCAGCAGCAAGTCCTCCTAACCAGATCCGTCCTCGCGCAGCAACTTGATGCCTAGAGGCCATTCCTCTGATGGCTGCAGCAGCAAATTAACGAACTCCCTTGTGTCCGTTAAATCGCTGCTGCTGCTGCTGCTGCTGTTGCTGCTGCTGCTGCTGCTGTTGATGCGGGGCAGCAGCAGCGCCATAATAGAGTCAAGGAGACAGTTGAGCAGCTGCAGCCATGATGTACATTCTTTAATATTATTTGTCTCCTCTATTTGCTTCTGCTGAAGCAGCAGCAGCACCTCTTGCTGCTGCTGCTGCTGCTGCTGTTGCTGCTGCTGCTGCTGCAGGCCTACGGCGCACCGCAGACACTCCACCACTTCCAGCGCACCGTTTGGCTGCTGCAGCACTGCAGCAACAAGCTGGGCAAATGGCAGCCGTAGCAGCACCTCCCAGTTGCTGCTGCTGCTGCTGCTGTCGCTGCTGCTGCTGTTGCTGCTGTCGCGGTGCTCGTCCCACATCTGCTTGAGGCGCAGCAGCAAGGCGCAGCGCCACAGTCTCCGTGTCTCCAGTTGCTGCTGCGTTGTGTTGCTGCAGCAGAGGAGTTCGCTGCTGCTGCAAATGGCCTCACCTGTGCTGCTGCTGCTGCTGCTGTTGCTGCTGCTAGATGACTGCTGCTGCTTCTGCTGCCGCTGTTGCTGCTGCCGTTGCAGCAGCAACTTTTCCTGCTCCTCCTGCTTCCAATTGGGCTGCTGCTGTGTGCATGCATGCAGAGGCGGCAGCAGCGCATGCAGCTGCAGCCGAATCTCATCCAACAGCCCCACTGCGTCCTGCCTGCAGCAAACGCAGCAGCAGCAACAACAACAGCAGCAACACGCGCATCTTTCTGCTGCTAGGTGCTCGCAACTGCAGCAGCAGCAACAACAACAACAGCAGCAGCAGCAACAGCAAAGAGACCCACCGCATCTCAGCAGGCATTTGCTGCAGCAGCCGCTGCTGCTGCAGGAAGTGCAGCAGGGAAGTGAGTATAGATCTACGGGCCTTAATAGCTGCGGATACACTGCAGAGGCAGCAGCAAGGGCAGCAGCATATACACTCCATTGTCTGCTGTTGCAGCAATGCCTCCCGCTGCAGCAGCTGCTGCAGCAGCCGCTGCTTCCCGTCTGCTGGCAGCCCCAAAGTTGCACAGTCATTGTGTTGCATGCTAGCAGCAGAAGGAAGCCCTACATCTATTGCTGCTGCTGCTGCTGCTGCTGCTGCTTCTGTTGCTGCTTCTGCTTGCTGCTGCGTGCTGGTGCTGCTGCTGCTGCAGTATACAGTGCAGATGTGAGACCTTGCTGCATCCATCAGCAGCTGATGTGCTGCTGCAGCAACAAGAGTATTGCCCCAGGCGCTGCATGCATACAGCAGCAGACACAAACCCTAAACCCTAAACCCTAAACCCTAAACCCTAATTGAGCCTTTGTCATATATACACCTCACACATTCGCACCCCACAGCAGAGGAGACGTAAGAAGAGATAAAGACTACCCCAGCAGCAGCAGCAACAGCAGCAGCAGCAGCAGCAGGAGACGTACCTGCGTTGCAGTTTTCTTATAGGGCGCATCTCCATCTCTACTTTATGCGATTGATTAGTAAGAAAGAAATTAAGAGAAGACTCGAGGTGTACGTACACCTCAGCGAACCGCAGCGAGGGGCCTCTTGGTGCTGCTGCTGCTGCTGCTGCTGCTGCAGATACACCTGAGAGCAGCTGCATGCATGTCATTGATGCAAACCCTGATGGATACTCACTGCAACGCAGCAACAAACCCACGCTGCAGCTGCTGCTGCAGCTGCTGCTGCTGCTGTTGCTGCCATCGTGGCGGCAACAGATACTGCTGCTGATACCTACACCACTGCTGCTGCTGCTGCTGCTGTCATTGGCCTGGCCATCAGCTGCTGCTGCTGCTGCTCTTGGATCTAAAGAAGTCTCCAACATTACGCCAAACAATATATTTGCTCCTCTTGTGCTCGGGTAGGCTCCACTTGCTGCTGCTGCTGCTGCTGCTGCTGCTGCAGCTGCCTTGCTGCTGCTGCAGCTGCTGCAGCTGCCTTGCTGCAGCTGAAGCCTCCGCCTTAGGAGACTTCAAGAGAAACACACAGCAGCAATTGCTGCTGCTCAGTATAATAAAGTTCTTAAGTATAACAACTCAAAATGCTGCTGCTGCTGCTGCTGCTGCTGCTGTTGCTGCTGCTGCTGCTACGCGGTTGCTACGCTGCAGCGCATGCAGAGGGGGCTGACTGCTGGAGCAGCAGCTGCAGCAGTCCGCTGCAGTGATTGAAGCGGCATACCGCAGCAACAGCTGCTGCTGCTGCTGCAGTTTCGGGTGTACAGGCAGCTCGAGGTGTCTGTACAGTGTCGGCAGTGGCGGGGGGCATGGCCCCTTTGTTTATGCCTATTTATTTATTTCCCTCTTATTAAATAAAAATTAAATTAAATTAAATTAATAAAATTAATAAAGAAAGGGAAAAAAGAAGCATTTAATCAACAGATTTGCTGCTCTTTGCATGCATGCAAGGCCCCAGCCAGCCCCAGGGCTTCGAGTCGCATGCGCTCTGTACCTGTAAACCCTAAACCCTAAACCCTAAACCCTAAACCCATATTTTTAAACACTAAACTTTAAACCCTAAATAAGACGGCAAAACAATTATAATCCAACAACGGCTGCTGCTGCATGCATGCATATCCTAAACCCTAATCTTAATATACTATATAATCTATTATATAGTGTGTTAATAAATAATATATAGTAATAAATAATAATAATAATAATAATAATAAATAACAATAAATAATAATAAATAACAATAAATAATAATAATAATAAATATTAATAATAAGTTGGGGCTTTTAGTTATTAATTAAGGAAGAGTTAAATTATACAGACTCCTTGTCTGTTATACATCATTCATCTCTCCCTCCTAAATGCATGCATGCATGCATGCAGGCAGGCAGGCAGGCAGGCAGGCAGGCAGGCAACAGATGCATGCATGCAAGACAGGCATGCATGCATGCATGCATATAAGGTGTATGTACACCTCAATTTACTATAAGCTACCTAATAAACAATATAATAAAAAAGAGAGATATTCTTATTACCAACTAACCAGCCCCAATAAAACCTTCCTGCCTGCCTACATGCATGCATGCATGCATGCATGCATGTATGCATAAATGTATGCATGCATGCACTATACCCAGGGTAGCTGCTGCTGCGCATGCAGCCCCGCAGAGGTAGCTGCCTCTGCTAATTGAATAAGAAGACTTTGTACATGATAAGCATTAGGGACACAAGTACGAGCCCTTGATAGATGTAGACCAACACTAAGGAGACAAAAAGGAGACAAAAAGGAGACACAAAGGGGACACAAGGGAGATATAAAGGAGACAGGGAGGGGACAGGAAGGAGACAGGAAGGGGACAGAAAAGGGACAGAAAAAAGGCATAAAGGGGACAGAAAAGAGACAAAAAAGGAGACAAAAAGGAGACAAAAAGGAGATAAAGAGCAATTAATATGCAGACAAAATCAAGAGACTAACAAACACTCGAAAGTGTCTCTACAACATATTGCTGCTGCTGCTGCTGCTGCTGCTGCTGCTGCTGCTGGCTGCTGCTGGCTGCTGCTGGCTGCTGTTGTTAGCAGCAGCAGCAGCAACAGCAGCAGCAAAAGCAGCAGCAACGACAACAGCAGCAACAGGAAACCAGCTAAGAGAGAAAAGGGATAAAAGGTACCTGACGGATATACACGTCCTTGCAGGCCAGCCCCATTCGGCCCTGCTGCTGCTGCTGCTCTTGCTGCTGTTGCTGCTGCTACAGCTACTGCTGCTGCTGCTGCTTGCTGTGCGCATCAAGGCGGGACTGGAGCGAGGGAAGGTTTGCTGCCGGGATAGGAGACTGCCTAAGGAGATTCAACACAGCAGCAGCAGAGGAGACAGCTAGATGCATGCATGCATGCATGCATGCGTGCATGCAAGGGATTGGGGCTGGATTAGAAAGTAAGGAATTACTGACCACTAGGCCTTGGCAGAGGCTCGGACATCCTGCGAGCCTTTAGCAGCCCTTGTGTTATTCCTCCTGCTGCTGCAGGTATTGTTGCTGCTGGCGCTGCTGCTGCTGCTGCTGCTGCTGCTGGTGCTTCTGCTGGAGTCCGTCTGTTGTACGGTGCTGCTGCTGTTCCTGTGCCTTTTGCTGCTGCTTGACCTTCAGATTGGGGTGGAGGCACGGGATGGAGATGGGAGTCGTGTTGGGGATCGAGTTCGGGATCGAGTACGGGATCGAGTTCGGGATCGTATTGGGGATCGTCATCGGGATCGTCATCGGGATCGTCATCAGGATCGTCATCAGGATCGTCTCCATGTTCGTCTCCGTGTTCATCTCCTTGCTCGTCTCCGGGATCGTGTGTGGGATCGTGTGTGGGATCGTGTGTGGGAACGTGTATGGGATCGTGTATGGGATCGTGTATGGGATCGTGTATGGGATCGTGTATGGGATCGTGTGTGGGGTCATGTATACCATAAGGAGGAGGAGCAACAGATTCATCATCATTAAATAATTCATATAAATCTTCTTCCCTCCATGCAAAACTACCAATACATAAATAAAAACCAACAGAACGAAGAAAATCGGCGCCAAACTCCTCCTCTACTACACGAAGCTGCACAACAACACAACAATCCAGCCCCAAATCTCCATGCATGCAATTGCATGCAAATGTCCATCGTATGTGTGCATTCATGCATTCATGGCTACCTACAACCCTAAACCCTAAACCCTAAACCCTAAACCCTAAACCCTTACCAGGAGTTGCTTTCTGCTGCATGCAATGTCTCGG